ATGTCTAATCCAAGATTTCCTAAATGAACCCCTAACTTGCTCCTCTTCGAACCCATGACATGCTGTAGACGTTGGTATGGATACACACTAACCGCCTTTACTTCAAGACAGATTTATATACAAAATTAAGCACTCACCGACATTGATAAGCTAAGAACATTTATACAAAACAAGACGTGTTTCTCTATCATGCATCTAGTTGCTCCCTAAAATACAAAATATGCATAAAGAAAAAAAAAGAATGAAAAGATAATGAGAACGACCGTTATAAACTTAGAAACTTAGAGAATCAAGTTGTCAAATGTAGATGACAATAAATGATATTGTGTATTTCAGCTAGTTTTCACTTTGACCATGTGTTCCAAATGTAGAATTTAAATTGCAGTTTACAAAAATAAACTATTGAGTACATAGTGTTGCAAATGTGCATCTGGGTATATAGTACTCATGTAAAACATGAATGGTAAAATTAATGAACATTTTGTTTTTCGTTTATTTAATTTTAAAAAAAAAAAGAATCAAAAGGACCAAATATACAAATGATTGAATTATTTTAGTATATTTAGGCGACAATTTCATTCAATGCCATTCGTTCATAGCATACAGGATGCTGCAGCCAATGACAGTGCAGCAAATTATACTCGTGAACATTTTCAGACCAATCTTGTGACCACAATCACAGACCAAGCACCATGCAAGTTCTTATTTATTTTATGAAATGCAGAATTTTAAATATTACTTATTATTTGAAACTTGTGATGGGAGTCACTGCCGCTGGGACAATATAAGCTCTGTCTTTCTCTTTGGCAGCTATTTTAATAACTGTTATCCAGAGCTGCTACACCTTGAACTGGGATGATATTAGACTAGGCTTGCTCTTGGGAGTTATGGAACTGTCTGTTTGTGTATATTTTGACACCATTTAAGTCACCCTATGCCCATTATATGTGCAGAGTGTGCAAAATTGGTTATTGTTCAATGTTTTGTGTGCTTATCTGTCCTGCTGATTCCCTCAACCAACAAGGTGGATTTGGTTGTGGAGCCTGTACACTGCCATCCGTTGGTTGTAGGGATCCTAAACCATCTATATGCACTACCTGAATAGCAAGGTTTGTTAATTTGCAAACTCAGGTACGTTTGTCATGTTGTGAATACTGCAGGCAAGAGAGATATTCTTGTTAGGTATTGTCTTCTCCACCCCTTTATAAATATGTTATTATGTTTTTATAAGTTCCTGTACGTTTTCCAATATGATTTTGTTAATTGTATAACATTGAGTTTGTCACAGCAAGTTTGATGTAATAAGCATATGGGATAGTTCCAAGTACAAATAAAGCTTAGTGTGCTGGTTATTTATGGAACTGTGTGTTCTGTGTGGATATGTTCTAAGACACCAGTAACAGAGTCTTCGGACAGTATAGTCCCTGTAGCCGGGGACAATTAAAAAAGAGAGCTAGACCTGAGAGTCACAAGTGCCTTTATAAAGACAGCTTATCACATTACAGTCAGAGGTGTGGTGACCTGCCTGGAAGGAGAGCTGCAGAGGAATAGGCAGAGGGAAAGAAATCTGTCTGGATGAAGAGAGCTGCAGCCTGGTCATGTAGAAGAGTTCTGGAGAGACCACAGTCAAGCTTTGGCGACTGGAGCTGAAGCTTTTTAGAGTACCTGAAAGTAGCTACTAGGTGCACTGGGTAGAGGTACTCAGTCATTGTATGGGAGCTTAAATCACATCTGATAGCAGCAGTAAATGGCTTCCTAGCTATTGGGAAAACTTCCAAACCGCCATTGGGACCCATACACATCTTCCAGAACTCTTAGATATGGATAGTGCTAGCATCCATGCAGCCTAACCCATCCATGGAGGAGTTCAAGAAGAGACTACATTAAGTTCTCTCCCAGTATGATGACACTCTCTTGGGAGAGGGTGAGCTGGATTTGAGGGATCAGATCTAAAAGCAACTCAAAAAGTAGGTTTTTGAAGAGGTTCAGGTACTTCGGAGCGAATCTCTTCCAAGCCCATAACAGTGACTTCAGGATCAACTGGATCTGTGGAAACTTTTCTTGGGAGAGCAGCCCCTGAAAGAATGGGTGGTTGAACTTGAGAGGCTGGTCTGGATGGAATTGTGGGTAGCTGATAGTTACCAGGCCTTTACAAAGTATGCAGTCCAACATTACCCATGGCTAGTTGATGATGACAAACAAACAAACACCATAAACTCAGTGCTCTGATCTTGTAAACTACTTAACTTCAATCAATCAATCTGCAGCCTCCCAGGATCGTTATCCACAACAAACGATCTTTACATATGCATAAAACCACAGACAGAAATGGGATACGGCTGTACAGTCTATAGAGAGAACATATAAAGAAAAAACACAATAGTGTAATACAGTAGATACAGTAAATTGTGCGCTTTAAATAGATGCATTCACAAGATGATTGAAATAGAAGAGCATTCACAAGGTGCCTCTCCAGATAGTATAGGGGGCTGGTGGTTCCCCTTATCGATGTAGAACAACCAATGGAACAAGGGAATCCAGGTGAATAGTAGTAGCAAAAACAATTATTTTATTTTCTTAAAAAGGTGAAAAAACACTATAAGATTAAAGATTAAAAGTGCAACAATAGGTCCAAAGCGTTTCGTTCAAACAAGAACTTCATCAGGGACCGCACAATAAAAAAATCACAAGCAATATCACAGATTGTAAAATAACATATCCTACTTTCCCCTTAACAGAATCTCTATAAATAGGGCTAATCCCAGTGTCCCATTGGCCCATGATGTAGGAGTGTCCAATAGCCAGCTCTTCATTGGTGCAGGGGTGATATCCTCCAGCTGATGATATTTTCGGCATTTAGATGATTCAAATTAGGCGCGTTCAATAAGAAAACCAAAACCGGAAGTGGGCGTCAACCTTCACTTCCGCATTCCATTTGTTGAGGACTATGATGGCCCTGGCCTATTGTGATGATGACCCTGTAGAGGGTGAGGACTATGATGGCCCTGGCCTATTGTGGGAAGCCTTTGAGGACATTTGTAAGTCCCAAGGAGTTTCAACTCTGGAACTGTAATGACATGAAGGGGTGCTGCCCTGCGACAGCACTGTGGGAACCAACTTAGCAGAGTAATAATGAAAGGACACGATGAATGGAGTAATAAAGAAAATATGTATTAAAGAAAACCAAAGGATATAATATACAAAAACAAAATATATACAATGCCACAAATATATATATATATGTATATATATATATATATATACACAAGAAATCAATATAAACACAATTAGAGCAGGCAGAGTACACATGATAGTCCTTTAGGCAAAAAGTAAAGGCTTTGGGAAGGATCGTGCAACCACCACAGAATATAAGTGGGGCACAGATCCTAAGCCACCAAGCACTAAATATACACCAAGGAGCAAAGCCCAAAGCAGGTCCCAGGTAAATAGGCAGCAAGGTCAGAATCACTGGAAATTAAGTTAGGCAGGAACACTGTAAGCGAACACTGGAACAGGAGGCACAGGACACAGGACCAGGCAGAGATGGGAATGCTGGGCCAAAAGGACGTCGGAACAGGAACACAGGATCAGGATACACAAGATACAAGACACAGGAGCAAGGAGTCTGAAACACGGGAACCAGAAAACCACAGGTACAGGATCAAGGATGAAGGATAATGATCTGACAGGGAGTGAGGGGAGAAACCAGAATATATAGGTGCTAAACAAGGGCCAGGTGTAGTGCTTAACGAAAAGAAATGAGAAACAGTGCCAAACAGAAACAGTGGTGAGTGTGAGTACTGCACGAGGGCATATTAACTAAGGAGTGTCGTGACAGGAACATCCTGGAAAATAGGGAAGACCTACTGGATCTCACAGAATCAATGGGCCTGGAACCCATTCAGATCTACCTGGCCACCCTGCAGTGGGTGATTGAACTGGATTACAGGCAATTGTTTGACTCAGTACAGCAGAGGGTCCCAGGGATTTGAGATTTAATTGACTTTACATTGGAGGTTTTTGGTCTCCCTCCCCAGTGGCAGATCAAAACCAAGGGAGTGGAAGTTGTCAGCCTCCATTCCAAGTGAGAGATGGAATCCCTGCAAGATGAGGTAGAGGTAGTTGTCCTCCTTTCCCAACAGCAGCTGGCAATGAGAGCGGAGGTAGAGGCAGTCGGCCTCCCTCCCCAGTGGTAGAGTGAACCAGGGAGTAGATGAAGTTGGCTTCCCTCCTCAGTGGCTGATGTCAAACCAGTGAGAGGAGATAGAGGTAGCTGGCCTTCCTCATTCCCCAGCAGCTGAGTGCAACCTCAACAGAAGAGCTAGAAGTGGCTCTCGCGTATACTGGTATCTAGTATACTGGTATATAATACTCATTCTTATTCATTTAGACATGTGCATAACATTTTGAATGAATGGCAAAATGAATACAAATTTTTTTTTTTTTTTATTTACTTAAAAATATGACTAAAAATTACAATATTAATAAATGAGAGAATGAATGAATAGGTCATTGGATGACTCTCATTCAATGCAGCATAGGCACACACTGCAAACAACAATAGTTATTTGTTGAAGATGATCTAATATTTACTACTGAACAAGGAGAAATCTATGTACATGTTTTTCTTTAACCCTCGGTCAGGCGCAACTGATCCAACAGGCACAGTCAATGTTTGCTGTTTTGTCCTACCAAAGCGAGCACTCGTTACCGCCTGGCCGCCTCAGTAGCTTGTTATTTTTACATTCTGCAGCGTCCTATAATGAGCAGTACGCATTTGAACGTTGTATGTGCGAGTCGCAGCACTTTGTGTCTCGATTGCAGTATAACCATTATATGTCTAGAATTACATTGGTAAGTAATTTTTCTAATTAATTCAAGCATATTAATGCCATACCTGATTGTTTTTCAATGTTATAATGTTCAACTCCATAATGAGGCATGATGTTCCTCTCAGGCACATTGCGCCCGATGATGCTATTTTTGTTATTTCTTTGTAGATACAGCAATAAAAATGGACAACTCAAAGAGAATTTTCCATTTCAATAATCCGAATGATGTAGCGGATATGATGAAAATGCTAGAGGATAAATCAGATGCTGAAAATATTTTTAAAGATTCAGATGAAAGCGACGATAGCGTGACTGAAGATAACATGGAGAGTTCTGAATCAGAACAAAACGATGAAGAATTCAGCGATGATGACAGCACAGATAATGCTTCATATTTTCTCGGAATAGACAAGTTTAGTAAATGGTATCGAGATATTCCCAACAAGAAAAATCGTGCCACGTCTCATAATTTGTTGAAGCAGTTACCAGGTGTTATAGGCCCCGCAAAGTTATCGAAATCTCCAGTTGACTGTTGGAAATACTTATTCACTGGAGATATTCTGGATATCATTGTAAAATATACTAACCAATATATAAATATTATCAAAAATAAATATGGATGGGAACGAGACGCCAAACTTACTGATGGCATTGAAATAAAAGCTTTCCTAGGTATATTATATTTGGATGGAGCTTATAGAGCCCTGGATTTAGTGGAAGAACTGAAAGAGATGAAACTTTCCTATGTTTGTACAGTAAAGAAAAACAAAAGAGAGCTGCCACCTGAATTTGTCACAACGAAATCTAGGGAAGTGTATTCAAGTAGCTTTGGATTCAATCGCAGTACTACATTAGTATCATACGTACCGAAGAAGAACAAAACTGTTATCCTTGTGACCAGCTTTCATCACAATAAATCTCTTGATTCAGAAACAGGTGAGAAAAAGAAACCATCAATATTTACATTTTACAATTTCACAAAGGGAGGAGTAGACAATGTTGACAAAATGTGTGCTATATTCAGCATTGCAAGGAATATAAAATGTTGGCCTATGAATATATTCTTCACCATGTTTAATGTTGCTGGCATAAATTTGCAGATAATTTATCTGGGAAATGATTTGAAACCAATAAAGAGGCGTCTATTTCTGAAGCAGCTTTCTCACGAACTTACGTTAGATGAACTTCAAAGACGAAGTGAAAAAACAATTGGCATTCCGCTGCATATTCAAACAAAACTGAAATGATTTCGTCATTGTGAAAATGTAGAAGAAGATAAAGAAGAAACTTTGGAAACGCCTAGCAAGAGAAGAAGGTGCATTATATGCACTACGTATAGCGGACGACGTCACTTATCAAGATATGAGTGCAGCAAGTGTAAACGTGCATTATGTATAGAACATGCTACTTTTTATTGTAATAAATGCTCAGAAATTGCTTTCGCCAATGTTGTAGAGCAAATGGAATAATAAACATGTTTTTATTTGAGTAAAAAGTTTGTTTTTGTAAAAGTGGTCTATTACGCACAATGCGTCCGATCCTGTTCTTACTCGCATTGCGCCTGACCGAGGGTTAAAATATGGTGAGCTTCAGGAGTTTTACTCATGTAAACAGGCATTTTACCTGATACAAAATTCTCATGAGAACTTGTAAAATCTGATTGGAAGAGTGAAAAAAGTTGTTGAAAAATAATAAGTCATTTAAGTTAGGAAGTAAATCTAAAAAGGACATGAAAGATAAGCATTTATTATTAAAACATTAAAGGACCACTATAGTGCCAGGAAAACATACTCATTTTCCAGGCACTATAGTGCCCTGAGGGTGCCCCCACCCTCAGGGACCCCCTCACGCCGGGCTGTATGGAGAGGAAGGGGTTAAACTTACCTCTTTCTCCAGCGCCGGGCGGGGAGCTCTCCTCCGCCTCTCCTCCCTCTTCTTCCGTCACCAGCTGAATGCACATGCGCGGCAAGAGCGGCGCGCGCATTCAGCCAGTCCATAGGAAAGCATTCACAATGCTTTCCTATGGATGCTGGTGTCTTCTCACTGTGAAAATCACAGTGAGAAGCGCGGAAGCGCCTCTAGCGGCTTTCAATGAGACAGCCACTAGAGGCTGTATTAATCCTAATATAAACATAGCAGTTTCTCTGAAACTGCTATGTTTATAAAAAAAAGGGTTAAACCTAGCTGGACCTGGCACCCAGACCACTTCATTAAGCTGAAGTGGTCTGGGTGCCTATAGTGGTCCTTTAAACAAACAATTACTTTTTCTTTTGGGAATATTAGAGAGCAGTTTTTTTATAGATCCATAATGAGCTTAATCAGTGTTGTAACCCCTGGTACATGCTTGTGTCTATGAATACACACTATGTTAAATCTGTCTTTTTAATTTTCTTTTTTTTTCACAGTCAGAAGGGAATGTTATAGATTGACTTAAAAATATCAAATGTAAAAACTCCACAGAAACAGTACCAACATGTTAAAAATAAAAGAGGATTCTGTTCTTTATTTTTAAATGGCACTACAAATGTTCATGTCACTGTGATGCCACTCCAGGGCTTTCCATTTGCAGAGCCCTGCTCAAAAATGGTAGCATAGGAAAACTCCTTGGGTGCTTAGCGCAGTGCAAGTGAATTTAAAGGAGCACTCTAAGCACCGTAATAACTACAGCACGCTTGAGTGTTAAAGGTGCAAGGAGTGCCCTGGTGCCCCCAATATAGGCATTTAAACCTTTTGCTAACAGTCTGACTTTATATCTCCGGGCTGTGAGGCATAGACCACTTCTGTCAATGTAATTTACAAGCTCCTGCTCTTGCCTACTTAGAGCAGTGGTAATTGAGAAACAGGGTTCAAATCCTGGTGAGACCATCTTATGAGTAGCTGTTCCTGGGCAAGACACCTAACAATATATATAGTATCTCACAAAAGTGAGTACACCCCTCACATTTTTGTAAATATTTTATTATACAACATGCTACAATGTAAAGTAGTAAGTGTACAGCCTGTATAACAGTGTACATTTGCTGTCCCCGTAAAATAACTCAACACACAGCCATTAATGTCTAAACCGTTTGCAACAAAAGTGAGTACACGCCTAAGTGGAAATGTCCAAAGTGGGCCCAATTAGCCATTTACCCTCCCCGGTGTCATGTGACCCGTTAGTGTTACAAGGTCTTAGGTGTGAATGGGGAGCAGGTGTGTTAAATTTGGTGTTATCGCTCTCACACTCTCTCATACTAGTCACTGGAAGTTCAACATGGCAATTCATGGCAATGAACTCTCTGAGGATCTGAAAAAAAGAATTGTTGCTCTACATAAAGATGGCCTAGGCTATAAGAAGATTCCCTGAAACTGAGCAGCATCATGGTTGACAAGTCCATACAGTGGTTTCACAGGACAGGATCCACTCAGAACAGGCCTCGCCATGGTCAACCAAGGAAGTTGAGTGCACATGCTCAGCATCATATCCCGATGTTGTCTTTGGGAAATAGACGTATGAGTGCTGCCAGCATTGCTGCAGAGGTTGAAGGGGTGCTCAGACCATACGCAGAACACTGCATCAAATTGGTCTGCATGGCTGTCATCCCAGAAGGGAACCTCTTCTAAAGATGATGCACATTAAAATACCTGCAAACAGTTTGCTGAAGACAAACAGACTAAGGACATGGATTACTGGAACCATGTCCTGTGGCCTGATGAAACCAATATAAACTTATTTAGTTCAGATGGTGTCAAGCGTGTTAACCAGGTGAGGAATACAAAGACAAGTGTGTCTTTCCTACAGTCAAGCATGGTGGTGGAAGTGTCATGGTCTGGGCTGCATGAGCCGGCACTGGGGAGCTACAGTTCATTGGGGGAACCATGAATTCCCACTTGTACTGTGACATACTGAAGCAGAACATGATCTCTTCCCTTTGGAGACTAGGCTGCAGGGCAGTATTCCAACATGATAACGACCCCAAACACACCTCCAAGACGACTACTGCCTTGCTAAAGAAGCTGAAGGTAAAGGTGATGGACTGGCCAAGCATGTCTCCAGACCTAAACCCTATTGAGCATCTGTGGGGCATCCTCAAATGGAAGGTGGGGGAGCGCAAGGGCTCTAACACCAGCTCCATGATGTTGTCATGGAGAAATGGAAGAGGACTCCAGTGGCAACCTGTAAAGTACTGGTGAACTCCATGCCCATGAGGATTAAGGTAGTGCTGGAAAATAATGGTGGCCACACAAAATATTGACACTTTGGGCCTAATTTGGACATTTCCACTTAGAGGTGTACTCACTTTTGTTGCCAACGGTTTAGACATTAATGGCTGTGTGTTATTTTGAGGGGACAGCAAATTTACACTGTTATACAGGCTGTACACTTACTACTTTACATTGTAGCAGAGTGTCATTTCTTCAGTGTTGTCACTGAAAAGATATAATAAAATATTTACAAAAATGTGAAGGGTGTACTCACTTTTGTGAGATATTGTATATTTTGATTTACATCTGCCTACTTCAATCCCCTTTAATTGAATAAAGTGCTGCAAAATATGCTGGCAACATATAAATGATAATAATAAGTTCCAAACTTGGCTATCAGTTTCAAATAAGGTTATTTTCCTTTATGTTTTTTATACTAGCTATTACAGAAGTTAGATTTGCATTTGTTATTATAAATAATGTGTGCCAATCAGATACATATTGTCAGTCTGGCATTGGAAAAAGGTATATTTGAGTTATAAATAATCACCGATACAGACTGCAGTGGAATTACACAACTAATATAAATGAGTAAAGAATAATCAGACAAATGGCATATGCTAACCTAGGCATTTAACGTGCATGGGCCTTTAATAAATACTCTATGATAAATATGTTTATCATTTACATATTATGTACTACCCATAACAGAAATACTCATGGTGGACAAAAACTGTTTTTATTCTCTTATTATTAATGTACCATCCTAAGAACAGCGACTTTTCTTTTTTACTTTTGTAAGACTAACTTATGTTTTATAATTTTTTTTTATAAGATGTAAATTAAGGGATATGACAAAAGAAAATTCATTAGTAAATATCTATTTGCAACATTTGAAACAAAAAGGTACAAGAACAGGTTTTAGTTCTACATAACATTAAGGCTTATATTTATTCCTGAACAGAAAATTAATGATCCATAATAATATTTGACAAAATAAAATCTTAGTAAAATGCTGGATGCTTTGGGAGTTTCATCGATATAAAAAAAAAAATGTATACAGGTTTGCATGAGAATCCACATGGGGAACCTAAAAGTTACTCCGTAGTTTACCTATAACCTGAACACCAAAAGGGATGCAATTTAGGTATTGATATGGAAAGTTTATTCATACAAAATAGCATTCTTTTGAGATTATAACTCAGCAGGATGTTTATAGATCCAGAATGGGATCGATCAGTAATATACCGTGTGGAATCCCTTAGCATGTGTTTATGTTTATGTTTCGTTTTTTAAAGTTACATTTTCAACTGTTAGATGAGTGGAAAGATCACTAGCTTCTTTCAGTAGAATATGCAAATTTAAACTTTAAAGACTGTATATTCTTAGATGGATTATATTTATTGCTTTTATTTAATTTGAGAATAATACACTTTTAATGATTATACGATACAACAGTAAAGGAGGCTGCACTCAAATCAAATATTGTAAAAATAAAAAATATAAATAGATAGCCAAAAACATAAACATAGAAACATAGAAACATAGAATGTGACGGCAGATAAGAACCATTCGGCCCATCTAGTCTGCCCAATTTTCTAAAAACTTTCATTAGTCCCTAGCCTTATCTTATAGTTAGGATAGCCTTATGCCTATCCCATGCATGCTTAAACTCCTTTACTGTGTTAACCTCTACCACTTCAGCTGGAAGGCTATTCCATGCATCCACTACCCTCTCAGTAAAGTAATACTTCCTGATATTATTTTTAAACCTTTGTCCCTCTAATTTAATTTAAACAATAATAATATAACATTAGATTGCATATATATATATATATATATCTATCTATATATATATATATATATATATATATGTATATATATATATATATATTCTAATAAGTCAAAGTTATAATAATCCTTGGATGAATTTCTTCTGTGTCCAATTTTTTTTTTCTTTTCCAAATACTCCATATATTTTACATGAAACACTAAAGAGGCTCTGCTACACAGGTACAAAAATGTACAAAAAAATCACAGAGAGAGACAGTGATATCACATA